AATATTATAAGTGAGGTGCAAACATCACCTTAAAGCTGGTTTCTGGGGTTTTTTAGTTAGGCTTAAAAATCACTTTATATATGGTAATTTTTTCTGTATTCACCCACAATAGGGTCGTTACAGACCACCACAGTTTCTACTATCAAGTACGTGATGTCTATCCCGGCGTGAAGGGGTCGTGTTGGAAGTCCAAACAACGAAGTCCTACATCGACTAGAGATAAGACCAAATTATAATAAATAAGTGAGGTGTAAACCTCACCCTACAAGTCGGTTTTGTGGGGTTGAATAAGACTTAAAGCCCACTTCTAATATGGTATCAGAGCCATGGTTAGAGCCTAACCTAGCGAGTTCTAAATGGGCATTGTATTCTTCTATTCCACCCGCAATCGGACCGTTATCGGACCACCCAATTTCTACTATCACGCACGAGATGTCTATACCTCGGCGTGAAGGAGGTGTGTTTGAAGTCTCTCATCGACTAGAGATAAGGCCAAATTATAATATAAAGTGAGGTTCTAAACCTCAACCCTACAAGTCGGTTTTGTGGGGTTGAGTTAGGCTTAAATTCACCTTTTATAATAGAGTGTTTTATCATTAGTGATCTAAATTGAGTAGTATAACACAAAATTGTCAGCAAAACTTTACTCAAATCAGAGGTGATTTACATGGGAGAAGATACATCTATTTATAAGCTTAGATAATTCTGAAGGTGTTTTCAATTTGTACAACCAAAATCCTATTGCTCTAAATGATATCAACATTATGTAATTTATTATAACTTGTTGTAATCGATTATAACAACTTGGAAGGGTATAGTGGAGGGTGCTTCGACTTACTTTTTACCAATTTTCAGATAGAAGTCATGTTAGGAGTACATAACTTCTCCTTTGATGTTGTGTGGCGACTCTGACTGATCCATCTTAGTACTTTCTTAAAAGAATTTTCATGACTTATCCCATTTAGTATTTTTAAACGGAATTTTCTTGTAATATGGATATAAATTTGTCCGTTTAGGTAAAAGAAATCAAGTCATTTCGTATTAGTTGCTTCATCGCCGACAAATAATACTATCACCATCATGGTCGCATTGGGGAACAAAGTCTCCTAAATTGGACACCACCACCGACTTTAACAAATTATCAACAAAGTTTACTCGAACACCTAGCCAGATTCAACAAATCTATGATTCCCAAATATGCTTTTGCTGAAAAGGAAAATTATAATATAAATATTTTAACAATAGATAAATAACATGGTAAGAATAATGCACCTTTATATCCAACCTAAATGGTTACAATACTATTATTTGGAGTCATGAGCTAAGATGTTAAACTCAAAAATTCTGATGACAAAGGAATTCATCCAGTACATATTGCTTGATATTATTTGTTAGGTAAGTCCTTTATCACACGAGCTCATAATTTGTAATCTTCTTGCTTAACTCTTTGAAAGTTGTAACCTACGTTCAAAGGTGCTCATATTGGATGGTGTGGGTTGGATCCCCGAAACTATCAAATTCTTTGAAATGGGGTTACAAATAAAGTTTACAATGTGACCATGAGCAGTGAACAACATTGTCAAGACATAGCAATACTATGAAAATTAGAACAAGGCAAACCCAATAATTAGCAAAGAGTATAAGGAAGTACATTTAAATTGTATATAACTTTAAGGACATATAGTAGAACAATTATCTTTTTAGAAATTTTTATAAAGTGAAAATTAACATGACTTGAAATTTAAGCATAAAGATAGAAATTTCATGTTAAAACATAATATAAAAAATTAATAAAATTATATTTTAAAATTTTGAATTAAAAATAATATTTTATATTTTTTTATTTACTCTTTTCTATATATAATGGTAAAACAAATACTTTGAGAAAAAGAATAATTGAAATATATATATATATATATATAGATATAGATATATATATATGATAAAAAAATTTACTTAAAAAAAAAACTAATAAGACATACAAATCTTCAACAATCTTGAACCATGAATTAATAACCTAACAAAAAAATGCATATAACATTATTATTCAATATAATAAATTTATTTAGGACATCATAACTCACTTAATATTATATAATAGGAATTTATCGTAATTTGATAAAAGTTCATTAAAAGTTAATCTATAAAATATTATATGAAAATAGATATATATATATATATATATAAAAGAAATATAAATGAAATTGTTGTATAACAAAATTAAATGATTGTCTTATATTTTAAAAATATATTTAATCTGTTAAGAAAAATTAAATATATTTAGTCAATTAATGATTTTTTATTAGATAATTTCTCTGTATAAATAAATAATAAGTTTATTAAAAAATTTTACAAAGTTTATTTACTTAAATTAAACTATTTGTATATAATTATTTAATAAGTTAAAAGTACTTAGATTTACGATAAATTAAAAACTAATTACATTTTTTATATTTGAAATAAATATTTTTAAAAGGAGTCATGGAATAATTTTTACTCATAAGATTTTTATAGATATTTTTGATTTTATAAACTTTTTTTAGTGAAAAACTTTTTGTATATGTGAATATTTTTAAGGTTTAATTGCTTGCTTTGTCCCCAGTTTGGCTGCAACATGTCAAGTTAGTCCACCATTTTAAAAAAGTTTCAATTACGTCCAAAACTTGGTTTAAAGTGTCATTTCGTTCAAAGTAGTAAAATTTGCATCAAGCAAGTCCCTTCCGTTAATTCTACAGAAAAGGACGCTTAATTTTTTCTCTCTCCTTGCCCTTGTATGTTTCTATGCCGCAACAGAATTACCCTTCTTTCGTTGAATATTATGAATAACTATTATAATAAGATAGGCAGAAATCCCAGTTTGAGGCTTGGTTTTCTTAACTGGTACAAAAAGTCCGTGCATGCTTTTGAATGGAAGACAATGTAAATTATGATCTTATTCATTGAAAGTAGTGATGAAAAATAAATTAGCATTGGGTAATAATCCGTTCTCACTGGATAGGTATTAATTAGGAATCGAAGGGTGAGGTTAGAAGAAAAACGAGTGAGTTAAGTAATACATAAAAAGAAATCCACAAAGTTTTAAGATTGAAAATAGTATTAAACATATTTATTATATTTGAGTTGGCTCATAATTTGAAATTCATTAGAGCCAAATACAGTGACTATATTACAAACCGTATTTCTTCTAGTGTAAATAACTTCTTTTTTGCCTAGCTGTCTCTAACTGATGTGAATACAAAATTCAATTCATAAATTAAATTATTTTATTTTTATATCTTTTTTACTTTCGTCATATTAAAAATATTACTCTTATTTTGAGAAGTCAATAACTCGTAAAATCCTTAATTTAGTAACAAAATAAATATACTATTGTATACTTTCGTGTTTATAGCATCAAAGTTATATAAATTCTAATAACATTAAAAAATCTGTTAATTTTGATATTATTTTTTATTAGTTGTTATCGTTCGGTATGTGGGATTTTACAAAAGTATTTCATCAAATTTAGAAGGTAGTAAAAATGAATATTAATATATCCATTATTGAGAGAAAAGGAATTAAAACAGAGATTCAATAAACAAAAATAAAAATAAAAGATAAAGATACGTATGAGTTTGACGGGATGGGTTACTATTTCATTAATCATCAGCGTGAACGTTAATAATCCTGGAAACATAATTAATTCCAAAAGAAGGAGAGGGTATGTTTGTTGCGCAGAGGAGGAAACAGGCAGAGGAGCAGAGGGAGAGAAAAAAAATTAACGTCCGTTGCTGTAGAATTAACGGAAGGATTGATTGATGCAAATTTTTCCTAGGTTTGAACGAAATTGACCCCCTTTGAAAACAAGTTTGGACCGTATTGAAAATTTTTAAAAGAGGACTAAACTGACCTGTTGTAGCCCACTGGGGACAAAAGCCAAGCAATAAACTATTTTCAATTAAACTCAATGAAGCCGAGGTTAAAAAGCCAATGAAAGAAGGCGCGACAGGACCACTCAACTCATATGAGCCGAGGTTAAAAGCCATGAAAGAAGGCGAAATTGACACGTCTATCATTGGTGACACTCCCGTCTCTCCCTGTCTCCATTTTTTCCACCTTAACCCGCTAAGTCATGCACTTTTCCTTTTTTTTTTTCCAGCACCCCATATCTCATTTTATCTTTATCAAGAAATCTTAAAATTCCTAAAACTCTAATTTCACATTTCCTTTTCCTTCCATGTGCCGCAAAATGCCTTTCATTTTACTTCCTCTTATTTTACACAAAGTTGTCCATGATTGATTAAAGGTTAAATTCTCACTCGACTCTACGTATGATTAAAAGAGGAAAAAAAACTTGAAAAAAATAACCATAAAAAAGTTGTTTAGATTATTTAAAAAAGAAAACATTTTCAGAATAGGTATTTTCAAATTTCAAAATGTCTGTCCGAACATTCATAATTGAATATAATTTATTTTACATTCTGAAATTATTATCTGGAAAGTATTTCCCAATCCAGAATATAAAAAAAATCTGGAATAAGTGTTCAAAAAATATTTCTATATCTAAAAAATGTCTTCCCAAATACTCATTAAAAATTCTTTTTTTTATATATTCTGGAATATCTACTTCAAAGGTATTATTCTAAAATAAATATTTAAAAAATATTTCCAAACAACTTTTTATGGTTATTCTTCTCCCAATCTCCTAGAGATAAAAAAAAGTGCACAGTATTTTTCGGCGTAAGAAGGAAAGGAAATATGAAATTAGGATTTTAAGATTTTTCATATTTTTTTTAATATTCTGGATTGGGATATTATACACCCTTCACACACATACAAACCAAAGAAAGAAAAACAGGGCACAAATCCTCTCCACTCCATTGTACATACCTCCATCTCCAGTATTCCAACCACGCAAAAATTAGCGACCACAATAATTTGCCACGGCAACGGGCAGACGGATGCTTCTTTTAAAGCTTCTCAATCATCAATGTAGGTGAATGGGATAAAGGACAATAATATAAATAAAAATATTATTTTTACTTATAGTAGCACTTGTAAATAAAACTTTGACATCTCAAAAAATTTGATGGCAATTATTAGACCATCAGTTTTTGATATATTTAGGTTATACAAGTGTATTCCTTTCTACTATTTTCATAAGTCTTGTCTTCAGCATTAATGGTAGCTTTTCTTAGTTTTATACTTAGCTCTTGCTACGTATAGAAAAGCTACTCTAAAATACCTAGCCAAGGCCGGCCCCCAAATACTCCAGGACAAATGTTGAAAATATAAGCAACCAAAGAGACTATCGATAATACGCCATGTGTCTGGATGAAAAGAATGGAGAACTCGCAAAATTCTTTTGGACAGGTTTCTTCTTTACACCTTTTGTTTCAGCACGGAGCCAGTCCTCAACAACAGATAGCAGATTAGTGGAAGATTTCAACTCATTGACATCTGATATCTTTTCTGCTCTTCTCAGTTCACCATCTTGTATGTATGCCAAATGAGTTGCCCATGCCTCTAGTCCATCAAAAATATGAGTTGCATATACTATTGTAGCTTCTCTCTACGAAAAGAGAAAATAATATAAGCATCGTGTTTTAACCCAAGCTTCCAGCTTTTGCAAAATGACCATTTATCGCCTTTCTTTAAGAGGTAATAATTTATCCACTATACTTCGTCCCTTGTAGGAATTGAAGATCAAATTCATATCATTATATTTTAATATGATTATCATTCCAATAAGGACCAGAGATTATCTAATGCCACATTGCGGCCGCCCTGGTTACTTTTTTCATTAGCATATCTAGTGTGTTTCAGCATGTACATAGACAGAGCATGCAAATACCTGTTCACATTCTTCCCTAAAGAATTCCAACAAATCCATCCGAGTCACAACATCCAGATCAACAGTGACTTCATCAAGCAAGAGAACCTGAAGTGTCATTCAAGGGTTCCACTTATATAATTCGGTTTGATTTGACCTGTTGAAGTACATAGACAAAATAATACCTTATATGGATAAAGAAGACCAAGACAGATTTGCACTCGACGCCGCTGGCCATCAGATACCTTGTGCATTCGCCACTGCAGATCGATATCAAGCAGCTCAATTAACTTGTCTCTCCTATCTGGGTCAGCATCCTCAACTGAGAAAAGTAGAGAACACCACAGTTCTATCATACATCAGGACCAAATAAAATTTATATTTGAATTGCTAATTATTGTATAGAAATTCTATTGCAACATTACAAAAGCCAGATGGAGACATGAGATGATGATTAGCTTTTCTCTTGATATTTACATATAAATAAATGGAGATTTAAATGATTTTAGCAATAAAGACAACTCCATCCAAAAACCCACCTCCAAAGATCATATGTTCGGCAGAGAAGTCTCCTTGAAGCGGAATTTCTCCCTGAATATTTTAGCAACTACATCAATGCTTGAAATCAAATTAATCAAAGCATACAAAAA